TATTAAATTTTAATTAATTTTAAATCAAATTACGTCATATTTTATAAAATAATTTTTTTTAATATTTATCATTTCATTTACAAGATTTAAATTTAAAATTTTATTTTTAAAAAATTAAATTTTTTTCTATTTATACTAATAGGTCGATAATGTAAATTACTTCTTTATTGCATAATATCTGCCAGCCCTGTAGCCCATAATAACAATTTTTTTTTAGAAAACAAATACAAATTTCAAGGATGAGAAGATTTTGAATTAACATTATAATTATAGAAATACACTTTTAAAATTGGTTAATAATTGGCCTGCGTAAGCATAAAAGCACAAGTGTTCAAATCAATTATTTAAATAGTTCAGTGTTAAGTTTTTTTTTAAAAAAAAAATAAATTTTGAATTTGAATTATATGATATACGAATTAAATGAGATAAAAAAATAAAAAAAATTATTTTTTATTAGGTAATTAACATTTAAAATTAAAAAAAAAAAAGCACAGGTGCCGAGGTGCGTACTTAAGCCAGCTGGGATTGAAATTAAAGTTGCTTATTTCTGAAATTTTGAGGCATGGAGTCATGCATGACAATTGAGAAAAATACAAATGTTAATTAGTTGCATGGTGCCAAAACAAATCAATTCGAAATAGCACGACAAAACGAACTTCTCTTCTACAACTTTACGTACAGTTAATTCGTGACCAGAGAACATGTATTGCCACGTGTGAAGTTAGTTACACCTACCAAATATTTATTACTGAGTCAGCCTCTACCTGCAACATTCACCTTGTATCGTTAAGGACAATGTTTATTTATTTTATTCACTGGTAAATTATAAGTGGTGTCTTGTTAAATTTATAATTTAAGTATTCATCTTAATACTTAAAAAAAATAATTTTTAAAATGCATCAACTGATGTGAGAATTGTATTTTTAAATATTATATGTAAAAAAAAAAAATTTTTTAAAGGTCAATTTGATATAATGATTTAAGAATAACAATTAATAATTTTATTCAAATGGTTAAGGATTGATATTTTGTAAATTTATCTATTTTGAAATCATTACAAACTAAAAAGTTTAATAAAATTTTTTATTTAACAATTTAGGTTTAACATATAGCAGTTAATATCTAAATTG